ATATATGTTATTGCAGTGGTCAATATGCCTGGCAGACTTTAATTGCTTATGATGCATGCATACGGTTGTGTCTATATGAATGGGCAAGAGGTTGCCCTGAGGCACCTGAGTTTCTGCGTGATGAGTGCCTTCTACTCCGAAGTGCCTTTGGGTAGGTTCTGTCTAGTGTTTTGAAATTAAAGTTGTCCCATTAGCCTTTCAAGAATCTCTCAAGGTTTTTCTTTTTCTTGTAATTTATAGGCTACACAAATTTTTGTTGCAACCACGAGGTGTACAACCAGTAGAAGTGAGCACTGCTAAGAATGTGGAACAATTTTCATTGAAGGCAAAGAAGGTTGTTGGAAAAATAAGAGTGGAAGGTAAGGTCAAAAATTTTATGGCAACTATATATACAAATTTGATATTTGGAAAGATGGGCACTGGAATTACTGTCCGTTACAATACATTTATAAATTCATTATTTTTGAACATTTCATTCCATATCATTTCAGTCTCTTGCAATTTGAGGATTAAAAAAAATCAAATCTCTGTTGCAGAAAACTTCTCTTATATAAAAACTAAGTTGTAGATGTTGGATAATTGCAGTGAAGAAACTTCGCATAATCCCAAGGCGAAAACTTAAAGGCACATATTCACAGCGTAGTGCAATGTACATGCAAGTGGGAGTGGACTATGTCCGACACGTCTCATCACTCGTGAAAAGTGGCATGAATTCTCTTAAAGTAGCCTCATTTTCGGTGACATCTGAAGGTTTGTGTTTGTTATGAATATACTGTATTGAACCTATATCTGTAAATTAATGAGTAATAAAATAATCTTATATTTTGAGCTTACAATGAAACTTCCATCTATAACTAGTGTCGACTTGACTGTTGCTGCTTTGAATTTTGAAGTTATCATTGTTCTGATTGAACTCTTTTAAAAATTTAATTTTATTATGACTTTCTCAATAAATCTGCCCACCTACTAAACAAAAATGTTTCAGTCATTGCTCCTACTCTTAACAAAGACATGAACTACATACTTCTTTGCAACTTCCCTACCTTAATGTTCTTGCACAACTAATCTGTTGTCTTTTCTTATTTGCAGAACCATTATCTTGCTTATTCCAGCTAAAGAGTACTACAGAAGATACCAAAGTTGAACCAAGTTCCACAATCTGCTTGCACCCCGGGTGTGGTGATTACCATGTCTTGTAAGTTGCTATCTTATATTTTAGACTTGGGCTGGTAGTCTTTGGCTGGAAGCAAGTTTAATCACTTATCATAACTCATAAGCTATAAAGTTAGTTTTATGTGCCCATATCTTACTTGAATTCATTCTTGATAGTCTAAGATAAGAGTTATGCTCTGAATGGTAGAAAAATCTTACAATTGCATGTACTTTTAGTTTCCCAGAGACTGAAGCTGATGCTCTTTTGGTGGAAGTCCAAGATCAAAAGAAATCAGTCCAGGGCCGAACAACAATTCCAGTTTCATCCTTGACTGATAATCCCGTATGTATTGTCCTCTATCTTCAACAATCTGGTTTTTTAAGGGATAAACACCGTCCACCTATAACATAATGTGATTGACTAATCAGTATAATTGGATTTGATTGGCTATCCTGTACAGAATGATAGAATCAGATGGTATCCCATATACCATGAGGATGAAGAATGTGTTGGGAAGATCCAGCTATCTATTGGAAGTACAATTACTTGTGATGAGACGAGTCAGATAAAGGTATTTTCATCCTCTACTCTACTGAACATATTTCATTGGAACTACTTAGAGGATTTTGATTCTTCCAGTTTTCAAATATCATAACAATTTAATTGACTTAATTATAAGTGACAATTGGTGATAAGAGGACTAGATGTGCTGCATGGAATTTGCTTGAAAATAGTCTTTTTAGTCTCCAATGTATTGAAGTCTGATTTTACAAAAGCAGTTGTGTGCATTTAAGGTGTAAAATTGTCATCTGTAGAATTTTATGACTATTAAAATTTCTGGAGTTATTTTGGGAGTGGTTCAACTTTTCGGTACGTTAAATGCTAGATTTGTGGTTCCTCTGAGTTTTAGAAGCTGAATGATATTACAGATTTGATTAATTTAATTTGTTTAAGTATCAGATACTTAATGATAATTCTTGAACACTGACTAGCACAGTGATTTTTTAAAAATTTGACTGCTAGTTAAATAGTAGTTAGTTATTCAGTTTTCAAGATCTACAGCAAGAATTTCTGTTCGTATTGCATGGGCAGTTCTGTGGAGCTGGACTTGATTATTTAAGTATGTCTACAAGTGTGTAAACATATGGGTGAGCATGCATGAGTTTTCTTCACCTATTTTGTTTTCCTTTTTCAGAGTGCGCCCATTGTGGAGACACTAGCCTACGATCTACTCCTGGAGGCTTCAATGCGCGCACAGCATTTTCATTCCCAAAACTTGAGGTTACAAGGACCTTGGCAGTGGCTATTGACTGAGTTTGCAGACTACTATGGCGTTTCTGATTCTTATACAAAATTGAGGTAGTTCTAAGTATAACTTTTGTTTGCAATCATCATTTTATCTATCATGCTCCTTGCAATTTCCTTGTAATGTATTAACTCTCTTTGGTTTCTTTGTAGATATCTGTTACATGTCATGAATGTGGCCACACCAACAAAAGACTGTTTAGAGCTCGTGCATGAGTTGCTTGTACCTATTTTAAAGGCAAGGAGTGAGAAAAGCTTGACAAGACAGGAGGTAGGCATCTCTGATTACAGATTGCATTGATTACTTTAAAAATGATCTCATAGATGAAATTATTGTAATTCATATTATCTTTGAAATGATGTGGCTAAAGAATGACGATAATGAGAGGTTCCTTTAGAACATCACTTCGCTTGTCTTGAGCTACTGGTTCATTTCCCAATTCCCATGGCATAAGAATGTATTGGCCAAGGGTAACATACAATGCTCTTTAGCAATTACCTATGCTACTAATAATGATAAGTTATATTGAGGTTTGACAAGCCATGACTTTGTCATATATGAAGAGAATCACTTGTGTGGGTCCTTATCTGAAAAGGGATATCAATTCAATCAACCTTGAATCCTTAATTTGTTAAACGATAAGATAATCAGATGGTGCTTACGGTTTTATATCAATGGTAGGTTTTAAATAATTACAGTGATCATATATTTGACATGAATCATTGTGACCAACGGAATTAATTTGCCAGCTAAATCTAACTTTGCTTTCTATGCCCTTGGAGCAAGAATCATCTGTGTGCTGCCAGTTTTTATGTCCTGAAGTTTTAACAGTATTCTAGGAAAAGTTAACTTAGAGGATCTTTCATTAGTCAACTTTTTAGGCCAGGAATCTAGCATCACTGTGATTTCTTTTTAAAGTAAAATTTTCATATGTGTCCTAATTTGTTGATTAATTAAAGAATTATAGTGATCATATATTCGACATGAATCATTGTGACTGACTGAATTAATTTGACACTTAAATCTAACTGTGCTCTCTATGCCCTTGGAGCAAGAAGCTATTGTGGGCTGCCAGTTTTCCATATCCTGAATTTTTAACACAATTTTGGAAAAGTTTATTTATTTATCCTGGAATCTTGCTTCGCTGTCATTTTTGGAAGTCAAAACTTCGGATGTGTCCTTAATTTTTAGTTTTCTTCTATTGTCATGGGAAGTGTATCACCATTTTGTGAAATCACCATTGGAGAGTGGTTGGATTTGCTGCATCTCCAAATGATATACAGTAGGATTATGTGCTTCCATTCATTCTGCAAATGAAATGTGTTTGATATTTGTATGCTTCAGAAATTTTAATGTAAATATGCTTTTCTGAGATAGCTCACTGTATATAACCCCTGCCTGCTCTCTTCCAGAAAAGCATATTGCTTGATTGTGAAACACAAATTGAGAGTCTCTTGGCAAATGCTTTTGAGAACTACAAGTCATTAGATGCAAAATCTCCTACAGGGCTAGCAGAGTTGTTTGGCCCAACCCAAGAGAATGCAGCACCAGCTCTAGCTCCTGCTGTTGAAGTATACACTCTCCTTCATGATATACTATCTCCTGATGCTCAGACTATGTTGAGAAACTATTTGCAGGTAATTTCAGTTTGTCAATAATGACTGAACTTTCTATTACACAGAATTGAATTGCTACCATCTTTGGATAATGTGATGTGAATGAAAGGTTCATCAACAACCAGCCTAGGATTCTTGTTTAAAGCGGCCTTTTGTTCTGTTAAGTCATTTAATTAATTAGATAGACGGGGATTTAAATATTAATGTATGTGATTAATGGAAAGGAAAATTGCTTATGCTGCATTACTGGAATGTCCTTCTAAATTATTTTACTAATATTTTCTATGCCTCCATGATAGTTTACCAGAAAATTTAGATATGGTTGCGGGAAAGGAAGGCATTGTCGAATTCTGATCTTTATTTTCTTCCATGTATTAAAGCAATATCAGGCTTTTCTTGTTCTGCTCTTTGTTGTGATATTGTAAACAAATGTATAATGCTAGTGATGATAACTTTTTGCAGACTGCAGCAAAAAAAAGGTGTCGGAAGCACATGATTGAGACTGATGAGTTTGTTTCAAGCAACTCTGAAGGTTTTCTCTTGGACACAATTACCATCTCAACAGCTTATCTGAAGATGAAGAATCTGTGTATAAACATTAGCAAAGAAATTCAGGCAGACATCAAGATCCACAATCAGCATATACTCCCCAGGTACAGGCACATTTTAAGGATAAGAATTAAAAAGCTTATTCATGAAGGTTTCCAAAATCATGTGAGATACAAATAGATTTCATGTGCAACTCATGAAATGGCATTCATTGATTATTATTACTTTTTTAGAATGTGTGCTAAAATTTCAGTTAGCTTTTAGTCAGTAGCCAGTTTATTGTATCATGCCTTCTAACACATATTCCTCTGTTCCAGTTCAATTGACCTGTCAAACATCACAGCTGCAGTATATAGCACGGAGTTGTGTAACAGGCTTACTGGTTTCCTTGCCGCATGGCCTCCATCTAGTCCTGCATCACATGTTAATGAACTTTTGATTGCAATTGCAGATTTTGAGAGGGATCTTGAGTCATGGAACATCAGGTGTGTGATTAAAATCCCTCTTTGTATATGCTAGAATAAAATGCTTTATTTTTGCCAACTATGCCCTGGAACTTCACATTATGACCTAATATAGAGTTGAAGGTCTGTGTCTTACACACTATCTTCTGCCTGCTTCAGTCCTGTGCAGGGTGGTGTAGACTCAAAGACTTTGTTTCACAATTACATAATGGTGTGGGTAGAGGATATGCAGCTTAAGCTACTTGATCTTTGCAAGTCTGAAAAGGTATACTTAAATTTTTTTTTTAAATTTTACTTATGATCATGAGATATGTAACCCCCCCCCCCCCTCCCTCCCATACCTTTGCCCCCATCCTAGCCCCATGCCAAAGGAAAGAAAATTAATCGCTTTTTTTTTGGATACATGCATCAATGAGCTTGTACACCATCAAGGAACTGGGTCAACTTATTTGTTATGGTTGTGTTGGACTTTGTGACATAATCAGGTGCCATGGTCTGGAGTGACAACAAATCATTCCACCTCTCCGTTTGCTGAAGAAATGTATGAGAAGATCAAAGATTCTCTTAGTGGATATGAGGTGGTGATCAATCGATGGCCTCAGTACTCACTGGTCTTGGAAAATGTAATTTCTAACTCTTTTTGACAGTTGCTAGATCGTCTCTCTCTCAGTGTGCATGTGCAATTATTTTATGTTTAGCAAACACAAACTTTCATATCGTGTCTGTATGGTGGATCCTGTTTCTTTGCGCTTAGCGCTTCTTTACACACACTTAATTCCATATGAGGTCATTACTTCTTCATCTACTGACATTTCATAATTATGGTTTACTGAAGGCTGTTGCCAATGCGGAAAGAGCAATCATAAAAGCACTGGAGAAACAATACAATGACATCTTGACTCCTTTGAAAGATAGCATTCCAAAAAGGCTTAATATGCATGTCCAGAAGCTGACAAGAAGGCAGTCAACAGCACTCTATTCAGTTCCCAGCCAAGTGAGTACACCATAATCCTTATAATTAATAGCATGGTAGCAGTTGCCTATTAGGTCAACAGAATATTGAACTCAAGTCAATTGAGCCAGCAATGTGTATGGTTCTTACATATCTTACCAAAGTTATTCCTTTTTCCAGTTAGGAATCTTCCTCAACACCGTCAAGAGAATTCTTGATGTCTTGCACTGTAAAGTGGAGGATATCTTAAAATCTTGGGCATCCTATCTGCCTCTCATGGGAGACAAGAAGTTGCTGTTTGGTGAGCAGATGAATGGAATCACTGTGATGTTGAGGACAAAGTATAAAAATTACTTGCAGGCAACAGTGGAGAAACTTGTTAACAATGTAAGTCCTAATTAATATGATTTCTATGCTAAATTTTTAATTTATTGAACATAGCCAAGATTATATTGCTGTCGAACTCGAAGCATTGTTCAAGGGTATGTGCACAAGTGATGTTGGTTATCTCTAAAATGTCAAGCTAATTGTTCATTAAAATGATATATCAGACTCTTGAAATTAGTTTTGTTGCACCTGGATTTGATTGGTTATCCTGGTTTAAAAAGGCATTTTGAATTTTATTTTTATGATTTGAAAGAAAAAAGCAATTTACTCTATTCTTCCTTTTGCTACTAGTTCATCCTTAAGCTCTGAAAACAACTATGACTGTTTCAGACACAAGCTAATCGGAACACAAGACTAAAAAGGATTCTGGACGAGATAAAGGAGGAAGATGGGGAGGCTGAGATCCGTGAGAGAATGCAGATGCTCAGTTCACAACTGATTGACTCTATCTCTAACTTACATGAGGTCTTCACAAGTCGAATATTTGTAGCAACCTGCCGTGGATTTTGGGATAGGATGGGACAGGTGAAGACAAAGAATTATTGTTGATTCGACCCATTGCTACTTAGCTTTGTCTGATTTCTTCTAACATTGTTTTAATTAACTTATTGCACCAGATTGTACTGAAATTTCTTGAAGGCAGGAAGGAAAACAGAGTGTGGTACAATGGATCATATTTTGCTCTGGGGGTAAGTGCTCAAGTCCAACTTTATTCAACTTCTTATAGATTATTTCCAGTTGAAAAGGGATAGCATTTCAATCTGGTTTAGATGCAGATTTGCAGTGCAGTTTCTCATAACATTCTTTCTCTTATCTCTTTTTGTAGATACTGGATGACACCTTTGCTTCCCAAATGCAGCGACTGCTAGGAAATTTGCTCCAAGAAAAAGATCTTGAGCCTCCTCGTTCTGTGATTGAAGCTCGGTCTATCCTCTGCAGAGACACAGCTAATGCAACAGATGCATCCACCTACTTCTATGTCTGAGAAGCTGCCAAACCAACCTAATTTTTATGCACGTCCAGCACAGAGTGTACAGTCTCGAGATTTCAGTGCAAAATTCTGTTTTATTCTTTTTGTATATGTAAAAATACCCAGCACTATGCTGGAAACCAACACACCATGAAAGCAGTCTTATTTCCGTATGTCATCTTCCAAATTCTTGTATTCTTTGTTGAAATTGCCTTCGAAATATTTCAGTGATCCCAAAGTTCCGCTTTTGTGTAGTTGTTGCATAATCTCCAAATTAATTAAACTTGCTTATTATGTGTTCATTCTGTTTTGTTCATAAAGACATTTTCCATGGAACATTTTTCTGTAAGAAATCATTTTCAGCACAACAGACAAAGCTAGAAAAAATAGATCAATGCATCAAGAGAGAGAAACCTATGCTTTTGCAACTTCAGAAAGGTAGCTATCAACATGGCTGGCCTTCGACTTCGACTTGTTAACTGAGTAAAACAGGAAATACCTAGCAAGCAGCTTGATCACTAAACAAATCTACAAACATAAAGCAACGTAAGTAGCTGCCGAGGAAATACCAAAAGTGTGTGCCGTTTCACCCTCCTTATGCACAATTGCTAAAAACTATGGCCAACCCTTGAAAAACAAACCAGTGAAATTTCGTTAAGCTAACTGCTAAAAGTAACAACACATCCAGAACCTGTTCAAGTCCCTTTCCCCTGTTGAATTTGTTGAAGGAGAGCTGCTGCCAGCTGTAATGTTGCTTGCAAGCGTTTCTGTGGATCTGCATCGCCTTCTTCCTGCATACCATTACCTTGCAATTGTTGACTTCTTTGGGCTGCTTGAGGCACTGCTGCAACTGCATTTGAGGTCTGCTGCTGTAACTGTTGCACTCGAGAAAACTGAGATGTTGAAAGCTCAGGAGTCGCCTGATTATTTTGTAAAGCATGTCGCTGTGGTAGTCTCAACATGTCGGACTGGTCCATTGTGTTTGTGTGCCGAAAATTCTCCCCCATAGATACATTTGAAGTATTTCCTACTTGCCTCTGCTGCCCAATAAGAGATGATGCCAGTTGTGCTAGTTGTTCTGGTTGAAGGGCTGAAATAGGCATAGATAGAGGGACAGAAGATTTGATTTCCTGCACAGTGGGCTTGCTGTTTCCAGATAATGGAATACCTGAAATTCCACCAGTACTAAGATATGTTTCTTGCACTGCTCTTGGCATAATTGACTGATGTCCCTGAACTGCAGGATCATAAGTACTACTGGAAACTTGAGATGGAGTGTTTCTGGCACCAGAAACTGGATTCTGCTGTTCGTGAGAAGACCAGCTTGGTCCCAACATAGCATTTCGCTGGGAAGCGTGATCACGTCTGTGCTCATTATACAAGTCAGACACATTTCCAACAGAATGAGCTGACCCAGAAAGTGAAAGAGGTGGAGCAGATGTAGCCCCATTCCCTGGAAAGGAGATGTCTTTTTTTCCTGATCTACTTAATTCTGGATAAGATGTCATTGAAGGAAATGGCCCTGAAGGTGTTGATGGCTTTGCAAAAGATGTGTCACCATGAAAAGGTAACAAGCTTGCATCTTTTCTTTCATTTGGATGAGAAGACCCTAAACTGGAACCAGAATGCTCTAATCTCAAAACAACACCTGAAATGCTCAGTTTCCCAGGTACTTTCAGTACTTTCTCTGAAAAATCTGATGGTGGTACAAGAAATAAGGTGGTCTTATCATCTAATTTAGCAACAGCTGCCCGCTGCTTCTCTTCCAAGTAATGCATGAATTCATTGTAGAATCCCATGTCAGCATCACTTTCAGGGACAAAGAAAACAACCCAAGCACTAGATGCTTGATAGTAGTGCTTTGCAAGCATGTCTAGACCAGTCCTTGCCGTGCAATCTAAAAATTCAGGCCTGCAGCATCATGGTTGGGCTAATAAAAAATTTAGTGAAGTCCAAAGGGTAGGAGGGAAAGGAAATGAGTGCTTGCAGATGCACTACATGATGCCCCATTAAATCAACAAGATTCAGTCATTTTTCATAAAATAAATGAAAAAAATCAAATTTTTTTGTCAAGAAATCTAAAAATATTACGTGCATTACAAATACTTGCAGAGATCCTTCTACTTTATATTGTACCAGTAAATAGGAAAAAACATGATTAAATCTCAATTTATCAACTGAAAACAATACATTATTCAGTAAGGGAAACAAAATGGAACCATTCCATTTCATAGGACACCTAAATGCACCTAGGATGAATAAAGTTACTTAAAGCAAATGAATGACTACATGACAGCAACTAATCATTAATCAATATAGTGCCATGTTATCTATGAGAAAGGATACTGAGCAAAAAAAAAAAACTATGGGAAAGGATTTTCTACTACTTACAGCATGATGTCAAGGACTTTCCCAACAGGGAAGCATCGAGCACGACAGACAGGAGTTCCACCCTTGGCTATTGTCCCCTCCCACTTCCACTCTTTCAAAGATGGCGGATCCATTTCAGGAGTAAATCTTTTCCTTTCAATTACATTTGATTGTAGAGAACCAGATCCTACTTGAAAAGCATCGTAAGATGGTTTCCAGTGATCATTCCTTTCCCCATGAGTTGGAGCTAAATTCATTGGCCGATCAGGAATCTGTTTATACCCAAAAGCTCCAGGTTCAAAGTTCTTATCAAAGGCCTCAGATTGAGGAAAATCAGAGAGTATCCTTGGAAAAGCACGTTTTTCCTGTTCAAGATCAGATAAAGGATACTCCGGTAGCTCTTTCTCAGGAGGAAAGGAGCCAGTTTTCAATTTCTTGGTTCCATGGGTGGAATAGGTGTCTTCAGGCATATCCCATGGTTCTTCATAGTATGCAGTTTTCTGGGGTAATTTTGGAGGAAAGTCATGGAATCTCATTGGACTTTTACTATGTTCATACAAATCTTGTGGTAGTCGAGGATCAGGCCCCCCTTCTCCAAACCTCCAGGGTTCATATGTATTTCCAGCACTCCGTGAACTACCTTGCCTATTGAAACTATAGACATCAGAATCACCAGAATCAAAATTTGGCATATAAGGAGATCGGATGCTTGCATCTTCTGTTAACTCTGAAAAATTCCTATCCTGCAGAAAGTTCTCAGAAGACCCCAACCGACCATTTAACCTGAAATGAGGAGAGTTGGGGGCATTCACCGAGCCTCTTCCACTGTTGGATGGCCCGCCCTCACTCTTTGCAAAACAAATATGAACACGGGGGTTCCCAAATAACTTCCCCTGAAGAGTTTCTTTTGCCCTGCAAGCTGAAATTACACTCCTAAACCGAACAAAAGCATAACTACGACCTGGAAACACAGTAATCTTCTCTACCTCACCAAATGGCGAGAAAGCCTTCCTTAAAATCACTTCATCCACTTTCAATAAAGCTGGAAATCCTATCCATAGGACCTCACTGGGCTCTGCACTTCTATCAGTCATTTTTGTTTTGTCAGAGGCAAAATGTTCAGGACTAGCATGATGTGCTCTAGGGTCCCTTGGTGAGAAAGGGGACCCTCTTACTGTAGAACGCTGCTCATCTCGACGTTGCAAGTAGTCTTCATCACGTAATGATGTCGATGACTTGTCCTGTGATAAAGAATAGTACTAGGTAAGGGGAAGACCAACCCTTACTTTAAGCAGTCTTATATGATTTTAATCTAGATTGATTAAGTTTAAAAAAGCAAGGGTATAGACATCAAGTGGCTGGATATGGAGAAAGAATTAAGTTATGCCTCCATACCAGTGCATGCAAGAATAACCATTTCCACTAGCAAACACACTCTATAGACATATTGGACTACGGTATGGCAAACTTCCGGAGCTAATGAAAAATAGCCAGCCACTGCAACAATTCACCTCAAGATCCTACTGCCTCTGTAATCAAGGTGGAAGTAAAAACACCACCTGATGGGGCATTGTCTTGGAGGATTTTGACTAAATTTATCAAATAAGGTATCTCTTTTCGATCATGAGGGAAATGCTGCAGAGAACAAGGCTTTAAAATTGTAACTTGGCATTCAAAAGTGTTTTACACCCCCATGTATAATCAGAGTTGCAATTCATGAAGTGAAAAACACTGCCATGTAAAAAACATACAAAGTACAAGAATAGAAAGCAAAAGAAATACAAGCTATAAGAAAGCAAATAAATATGGAGTGCAAATTGTAGGACCTTCCAGTTGTGTCAAGCCAAATGCCAGATTACAGAACATTATCATGTTGTGTTTACCTAAACTTGCAGCTTCTAAATGGCTCGAGTTAATTATCTGCACAGAAAAATCCCTATTTTTCAATCACAGGAGCCACTTCATGTGTTAAAAGTATCTACTGTCACTTGAATAAAAGACCATAATTAGGTAGATCAAACTAACCAAATGTACGTTTCTAACATCAGCAACTTTCAAACATGATCCAGTTGAACCAGATTCTACCAGTTTACTAGTTCAAAAGCAGAATCATTCGCCTCAAGTTCCAGTTGCTGCACAACCAGAAGGTAGTCATAATCCTGAACAGATTCTAAACCTGGTTTTACTTAGGACCACAACATAACCATCATTGTGTTCCATTGTCAAAGGTTCCCCCCCAACCCTCCCCGGCGGACATATATATATATAATAATCAAACTTCCATAGACTGTCAAAAATTTAATCACCGGCAATTTCATTTCATTTTGAGCACCTCTTCTACTAACTCACATGCATACTCCAAATCTCCAATAAATAGAAGAAAAGCAACTAAACCTCCACCAAGCAAGCCCCAGCAGAGAAATCTGCCTGGTCAATAATGATGAGAGTACACGTTAAAGGCATTGGTAAGAAGCCAACAAAACTCTCCATTATGCAGAAATGGCATCTCCCTCCTCTAACTAAGAACCACAAAATATTCACACACCCCCACACACACATCTCATCATAAAAGCAAAACACTACACCATGGTTCACAGCACAGAGACACACATAATTGAATCATAAACTGCCACAAGCACAAGTACTCCTTATAGTTTGCCGAAAAGACAAACAAGTTCAAACATTAATTGGACCAAAAGTCAAACATATAAACCATGCTGTGAACTGACAGATGCATCTTTACAAGTAGAACAGATCAATGTTGTGAAAATATATAGGTTTTCAACACTTCTGAAGTGAATATGATCACTTAGATTTGCAGAACAGCAAGTCCATAATTGAATCACAAAGGTTCCCAAGTCTAATCCTGCAAAACTTGCTAGAAAAACTCTTATCACAAAGACCTTTTCATCTTGGAGAGTTGAGTTCTAAGAAGATGAAATATGGAAAGAAAAGCTAGCCTGCTCAATGTCTGTCTCTATTGTTTATACTAACAATCATTCAAATATAGTCTCGATCAAGGACTACTTAGAACTTCTATGACCAGATATACAGAGAAGACAGTTTTTTAAGCAATAAAGCACTGAGGCTTGCTTTATTTATTTACGTTATTCTGATTTTGTTATCTATTCTTTGTCTGTTGTCTTTTTCGGAGGGAATTGAATGTTGAAAAATAAGACAGGCATGCAAGATAGCAATTACAACATTTAGTAATCACTTTAACACAGAAACACTTCTTTTAACAGTCATACTTCATAATAATTAAGTAACAATTTGAAATTAAACTAAGAATGGTCGTTTAAGATTGCATATGGTCAATAGTTAGCATGAAAGTTATACTGAAGGTGATGACTAATTATTATGGGATTATAAGTTTACAAAACATTCCCCTCAATAATTTTAATGTTCACAAAATTAGCAATGTGTGCTGAGGTAAATCATTGGCTAGAGGAAGAAAGAGTAATCATTTTCATCTTATATTCCAATATGTCGCAAGTTGAGAGTAATTCTTGAGTTACTGTCACAGCTAAAATGATAACATTTCAGAGAAAAGAAAGATATTGACCTTGAAAGCAAGCTTGGCCATTTGTTAGCATTTGAGAAACATGTTGCTTACCAAGATTGGCTACTTGAAGTTATATTTTATGCTCTCTATCTTATGCATAGTCATCTTGCAATATATTCAGATATTTGAAGAGACTGTTGGTTATGTGATAGCCAGTTCCATGGCTCTTGTTGGCACAGTTTATACCATCTGCTCCAAGTTGCTAGCTATTAGAAGAGTCTATAATGTTCACTATGTAATCAATCATCCTCCTTTAATTGAGGAAGGCATTGTGGTGCTGCTTATGATTGGATTGGTTAAACTGCAAAGGATACTTAACAATAGTATCAATTTATCCTAAAAACAATGTCAATGATCTTCCCTCTACAGCTTCCACTTTCCAATACAGTCCAAGATTAGATATTTGAAGGTCAAGTTTCAACTTAGAATGGTGCTTCTATTCAAAATCTAGTAATTGTCAATTCCGGTCATTCTCCTTCTTCTCTCAGTTCCTTCTTTCCTTTATCTGACTTTATCTTTGAGATGTTATATTCTTTCATTATTCTTTATATATCTTTCAACAAGGATATCATAGTAGAACTCAACTAAGATCAGTTATTGCTAGCAAAGAAAAAGGTTAATGGCTCCTGCAACTTGTTAAATTACATTATGGTCTGTTATTCACTTAGACTTAACTCCGATGCAAAATAAGATGAAAGCTGGAATGTGCGTAATCTAGATCAAGTAGCACCAAAAAATAATTATTAGAAAACAACCTGATTCACCAGAGAACATATGTTGTTCATGTTCAAGTATCAGCTGGTATGAGTATCTTTATAGGTTGTGGAAGTTGAGGGAGAGAGATTTATTGGCAGCAGAGGAAAAGCTGTCTTAAATAAATTTTCTTTTCTTTCATGGAGAAAATTTTCAAATTGCTGCACAAGATACAATTCCTGTATCAACATAATTGATGATGGCCCTATATGTACCCATTCAGCTACTGGCATTAGAAACGGATTGCAAAAAACCTAAAAGGTCAAGCCTTTTCATCATACCATTAAGGAGAACCACTGGATTTGAACAACAAAATCATATGGAGTTTACACAGACACAATGTTCTGCAGCCAACCTGTATGGCAGACATGTTCTGCATGCTTAATGAGGTAGCAACAAAATTATGATACAGAGATCCTTTTTGATTTACCACCTCAATGCAAGATCTTCAATGTCAGAGTAATGTTTATTTGTTCAATTCAAATGTGTTGGGAATGATAATGTTCCAGGACAATAAAGTTTATCCATCATATTCAACAATTTTAACTTTCAAAAGTCCACTTCCCAGCACAGCTAAGTGCAATGAATGGATCTGAAGAAGCATTGCAGCAAACAGTTCCATGGAGAAAATTTATTCGTTGTCCCTGCTTTGCTTGGGAATATGCATGGAAGAATTGCACAAGATAGCATTAAAAGTTAATTATATTGAATGCATAACTAGGCTCCAGGAAGATAGGAGCCACTGATTCATTTACAAACACATTTACTGTGAAGTAAAATTTCCATATACAAGTCACTGATTATTTGGTCTAAACTTGGTGAGCAGTTGACTTCTAATCAACCTATTCAAGTTGCCATAAATTATAACTTGAAATTCTATGGATGTTAACAGTTGCATTTCATGCTGAGGAGTGCTCGGCAAGAATAGAGAAATTAACAAAGCAAGGAAGAGAGCTTATTGACAAAATACAACATCCATTGTAATAGAGAACCCTCTTTCAGTTTTATGGTCAAACAAAAATCTCTAGAAACCCGAGTGTTGCATTGGAAGTAAATAGCAGTGTTCCACAGACTATGCATCTTAAATGAAAAGCAACTAAAATGTTGTAATCATGCGAGTGGACAGCAAGTATTTTACTTTTGCTTTTCATTTATTATGTCATTATTCTTAAAATAATTGAGATTTCTGAATCTAATTAGATGTTTACAGTGTTGGTAATGATTAGTCTTGAGCCATAATACTAATTGCCAAATCAAAAAAAGTGTATAGCCTGTTTTATGCAATTAAGAAGACCATACTGAGCCTTATCAAAATCTTCACTCCATGGTGCTTACTTTAGTTTTATCAGTTACTAACTATGAATGCATCCTTTGCAGATAAAATTGTGCTGTGGAGGAGAATATAGTTTCTTAGAGTTGCTGCTACTGGAAGAGAGAAGCAAATTAAAAGGACTTCCACATAAAGAATCATATAATTTGCTTTGAGGCAGTGAACTTGAGTCTTGAATATGTTGATTCACACTTATTCCCAATATGTTATTTGTTGTTATGGCATGAATCTCCAAGAATATAAGCGTAGGAGGTCCTTTGAGTTGCCAACCTATAATTGTTCCATATTTCT